TGTTTTAATCCCTGGAGTCTTAACTAAGTATGCACAGAACACAGATTAAAGGAATAGAGTGGAACAGAGACTTGCCTTTGAATTTCAGATTTGAAATTCTAATTCACCGTCTCTGTGTGATATGTTTGTGTCCTACACTGTAGTTCCCCACTACCACGCTCCTTCCCCCTTGAGTTGCTTTGCTAATCACCCAAGTTCACTCTGTGTTTCCCTTAAATCTTTCTCTCTGTAACGTACGCAAACTCCCTCTTTGTTACTCTGCCCTCACAACTCTCTGTATCACTGTATACCTGAATATGGTGAATAGGGTTTTCAGAAACCCTCGGTAGACGTATACCCATATATATATAGAGTTATACCAAAACCCTAAATTAATTAAAGCCCTAACTAAATCCTAACTGGCCCATAGAAGTTAATTAAAACATGTGTTGGCTAATACGTGAATATACAGAAAACACAATCCTACTTTAAACCAATTTAATTAAATAAACCCCCTTATCAATTAAGTCAAATAAAACATCATAAAATAATTTAATTTAAAACAATGTAATAAAAGAAAACCAAACAATTTAATCAATTAATTAAAACAAAAAAACAAATTTAAATAACCATGGAAGAAACACACAATTAAAATAATTTAAATAAAAGATTAAACAATTAAATAAATGCCAGGACACAATTAAATAAATAGCAGGACTATCCTTTTAAAATTAGGGGTATTACAACAAACGTCTATACCCAAAGAGTAATAAATCGATTCAAGGGAATCGCTGTTCCCACAGACGGCGCCAACTGTTGAGGTTGAATTTCGCCGCGGTCTAGTACGCCACCGTTTCCTGCAAAATAAGGATGGCAAAGTCAAACACCGGTGTGGTGCCGGCCGTTGACCCTCCGACGATCAAGTTAGTAAGGATTCTCGATAGAGAATTTTAATCTTAATTCGCTTAGTAGGAGTTTTTTTGTATGTACCTTATTCCCGAGTCGTCTTTGTATTTATAATCACTTCCCTTATTCTTGATAAGGGAATTTCATCGTCCTTAGCCCATGGAGCCTACCTCGTGGAAATCCTATCCTTGATAAGATTTGAACTTACCCCATGACAAATCCTATCCTAGATACGATTTGTCATCATTTTTATCTAATAGAATGGTTATCCTTAATAACGAGATATTATCGTCTGAGAGTTGGAGAAATTTGGTGGCCGGTCAATATTTCATTCCCTTTTTCTTTAAGTCAAGATAGGCTAGGGTTATTTTTCCCAATCAGAAGTGATATAAAAGATGCTTGATCAAGAAAACTAGTGAGAGAAAATGGGTTTGAAAGAGAAGAAAGAAGGAATAAGCCAAAAGAGTCTTTGTTAATTTCTCTGATTTTATTGAAAAGGAAGGAGGTGAGAAAGGAGTTGAAGACTTTGAATGAAAAAAAGGGAGGGTGGGCAAAAAAAAAAATGTTAAAGCTTGTTCGAATGATGATCACTTGAACCGGAGAGCCTCAAAACTGGCCCATATTTAGTGTGCTGGAGCTTGTCGCCAGAAATAATGGAATTTATAAACTTGGAAACATGTCAGACTTTTTGGAAGAGACAAGGGCATTTAGGACCTTTAAATAGTCTAAATAGTATTTTTGTATACTTTAATAATTAGTTTGATACAATTAACAATCAAGCCTAATAGTTTTAAAATGTTGGCATATTTGATAATCAAAGCTTAATCAAAGCTTACCCACTTATAAAAAAAAATAAATAAATAAATAACAGTCAAACCTACTAGTTTTAAAATGTTGGCATATTTGATAATAGGGTAAAGTACAAAAAATCCCTCGAATTATGGGCCAAAATGCAATAAACCCCCTTAAACTAAAAAAAATGCAATTAACCCCTGAACTATTTTACTTCCTTACAATTTACTCACTCCGGTCACCGGTAGAAAATTTTTGACCAGACGTGTGTAAGCCATTTTTTTTTTAAATGCCCATTTCATCATTGTCATACAAAAATACCAAAAAACCCTTATTACCTAAATCCATTACCTAATCTGTATTTATATATATATATATATATGGATATATGGTTATATGGATTTGATATCTCTCTCTTGATGACCACAAATATCACAACTCATGTTTTCTCAACTCTCCAATCATTGATTTGATCAATCGATGAGCTTGATCCTTGATTTTAGGCCAGATGATGGATATATATATATATATATATATATATATATATATATATATAATTTCTTGAAATTTTGTTATACAACTATGTCAAATAGGCATTCGCGCCATCAACAACATCATCAGAGAAACGACACTAGTAATTAAAAAAAAAAAGACAAAGAAATCTTTCTCAGCCGATCGTACATTTAGCCTCGCCGGAATTGTATCACCATGGTTGAATCCGCTGGAATCACATCACCACCGTGAGCCCATCATTTACTTTGCCGACAATTTTGGGAATTCCAGCCGGATCGGTGAAAAATCTGTTATATGGATCTGAAGATGATGGGTTAAGAATTTTGCGTTTGTGATTGGGTTTGATTGGTGATTGACGACTATATATTCTTGGGGATTTGCGATATTTGTTGTTCATCATAAGGAACCGAACGTCTCGTTCACCTTCCCTCTGCCTATATCACTCATGTGCTTGTGTAATTTTGCAATTACAGATTATTCGGACAATCAAAGAAAATTTTAAAAACGTGTTCCCCGGAGATGAAATAATCGACAACAGGGCTTCCGATTTCAAATCCATGATAGTCGTTGACCACTTCCCCGAAGAAAAAATATTGTGTCAAATCCTCTTATTCATTAATCATTTGTTTGGCCCCTCTGTTTTGTTAGAATTTGTTGATTCACAGTACATCACAAAAAATCATTGTTGGGTTTTCTATTGTGGATTGAGAATGAGCTTCACGATTGGGGATTTTTTTTTTTTTCAAACCCACCATGACTATATGTCTGTCTATTTTATTTCTCTCTCTTTCTCTAAGAATCTATATCAAAGATTCATCTCTCTTTAAATCTAAATCAGAGATTCAATATCCAAATAACTCTGTAACTAGCCAGAATTCTTTGGAGTTGCCGCCAAGTCGCCAAATGGATCTTCTATTTTGAGGGAGAGAGTCACCAATGGAGCTTCTCATTTCATACAGAGAGAGTACTGTAGTAAATAATATGTTTTTGGTTTTTACAAGAAATCTGATTTTTTTTATTCTTCCTTTTAAAGGGAAATTTGGTTAATTTTGTTTGATGTAAGTGATAAAGTGATGCTGTTCAATTTTCATTGGTCCATGAAATTATACTTTTCCACGTCATCCACTTAACTTAAATACATCCAAAACTAGGTCGTTTTAGTAAGGGTACTTTTGTCTTTTCATTTTTTCGATCAAGTCTTTTGTCGGATTGCCCTTACTTACAACAAATTGATAGTTCAAGAGTGTTTTTTTTAATTCAAGAGGATTAGTTACAAATGGCCCATAGGATTTTTTTTGCACTTTACCCTTGATAATATGCATAATTAAGTAGGGTTTTATTTTATTTTTTTAAAAATTTTTCAATAAAAATGTGTAAAATATTATAAATTGGTTAACCAAGGTCAATCAATCCGAGTCATGTTAAAAAAACAAATAAAATGTCAGTAATGTATCGATAAATTAGAAATAAAAAAGAAAAAAATGTCTAGTAATTAATGGAAGTAAAAAATAGGGTTCTAATTCTCAAAAATTAAAGATAAATTAGGATTCTAGCTGCAGCAGAAAGAGGGAGACATATGACTAATTGGAGGAGTTTTGGTGATCGGATGCTGAATTGCCACCGCTCTATGCTAAACACATTGTGTAATTGTTCCAATGCGTCCAAATTTCACCACTTCACGAGTGGTGGTGGAGGTGGCGGCGGCGGTGGTAAACACATTGTGTAATTGTTCAAATGCGACCAAATTTCACCACTTCACGAGTGGTGGTGGAGGTGGCGGCGGCGGTGGTTTGTTCGCCATCATCATCGGATTATTTTCCTTGTCTTGGAGGCAGATCAATCAGAGTCTTGAATAAAGATGCGACCACTATGTCAACACAACGTTGTTTTTCTTCTTCTTGTTGTCAAGCAACAACAACAGCAGATGTAGTAGTTGAGGAAGAGGAGGCAATGGTCCATCTTCTCATGCGGTTGTTGCTAGACAAACCCTCATGGAGGTACTTGAACTTCAGAATGCTTCCATTAATGACATTCTCTCATAGGTTCTGGTTTTTGGCTTTTGCTTTGTACTGAAAATGGACCTTCTCATTATATGATCATGTTGTAAATTTTCTTTTGGCCTGGTAGTTCTCATTATGAGGGTATGCCCATTCATCTTAATTCGACCATACAATCCTTATCGGTGTATGGATAGCTATCTCTCAAGCACAGGTTTAGTTTAAAATGGAGCACCTAACAACGCATTTTCATAGACCAAGAACTACGAGATCGCCCCTTTCATTCTAGGGTGACGGAGGGATAGTACCATTTGAGCCGTTTTTTTTTATGCTTTTACCGGAGGTTTAGAGAAAGTTGCAATCAATAGGATTTTCCTAATCCTTCCTTTGAAAGGAAGAGCGTTAAATTCTTTTTTCTTTTGCAGAGACCAGGAGATTGCTAATTATAAAAAATAAAAAATAAAAAATAAAAATAAAAAAGTAATTATATAAGAATTTGAGTTTCATGTCAATACACCCGAACAACACTAACAATAATATTGCTGATATAATTATATTCATGCCATGCCAATAACGAATTATAACCAATTAACTAGAGGCGCACATTAATGGCGACCAAGCAGATTAGGGAATTGCATATATATATATATATATATATATATATATATATATAAGTGTCATAAACATCATAACTTGTTCCCACCAACCATAATGAAGAAAAGGAATACAATTTACTTACCTAAATGGAAGGAGGAGAGGGACACCTAATTAGTAAAGCCAAAATGAAATAGATATATAGCTGATATTGTAGAACTACTGCATGGTGTAGGGGGCAACCCAAACTGGAGGTGGGTTAATTTTCAACCTGCTTGGATAATAAGGTTTTATGGAGTGATCCTTTAAGTGAAAGACGCCATTGTCATGGCCCGAGTATGGGTTGACATGACTTAAAGAGTAAACACTGTCGGTGAAGTAGATAGAATTCTCCATCAGTTCTGGATGATCGCGAGTTGAGAGAGAAAAAGAAGTATTATTACCCATAAACAATGCCCGGTCAGCTAAGCATTCAACAGGTTTCCACTTATTGTTATCGAAATCAAACCTATGAACATCAAATCCCAGAGTGTTATAAGCATAAGCAGCATTCTGATCACTATTAGCTATATACCTGGAAACCAGCAAAAGATCCCCGGAGGACTCGACTAAATAATCAAAGGCACCACAATCATAAGATTCTCTAAGTTCTTCCTCATCGTCAACCTTATCAAATACTTGCCTTTTAGGACAAGAAGGATCTCTGAGGTCCCAAGCTTCAAAGTCACTATATGATCTCATGGCATAAAATCGCTGGTCCTTGCTGAAATATGTTATGTCAATATAATGTCCGTACGAACCGTCCAAGGTGGTCCAGCTATCGTCCCCAAGTTTGCAGAAGGCAATATATGCATTTGGGCTGTGGATGGCCATTATAAGGCAGTCATTCCCGCAAGATGATGAGAAATAAGAGGGGACCGATGGGGGTGATGACATAGCAAGCCTTTGTAGGTAAATTCCAGTCATTCCCTTAGGGGAAACATTTTCCTCGTGTTTCCAAGGATGCAGAGAGAGTATCCACTGTTCGATGAGAGATGGGGAACCGGAGAGGTGATCGGATTTGAGGATGCGAGTGGCAGCAGTGGTGGGGAGAGTTTCGAAGGAAGGGAGGGGGATGTAGGGGAAATCAGGAGTGTCTATTAAGGGGTTGTAGAGATAAGGGTGGCAATTGTGATGGTGGTTAAAGGCCAGCCAGCCATGACAAGAGCCCACACAGTGGGCGGCATCAGGCGTAAGGAGGTCCCTCTGCCACGGAATCATAATATTCTTCGCAACCCTAAATTGACTCTGTTCCGAAAGGCTAAAGAAATGAAAATAGTCCGTGTCATTGTCGTCCGAGTACTTTTCTGAATTTTTGTGATCAACAACACTAACTCCGGGAGGTAACATGAGCAATGGTGACGAAGATAGTGATGGTGGACTTACAGGTGGAGGGGTTGGAAGAGAAGGAGAACACCACCAACAAGAACCTCGGATCGGTGAAAAGTGCGCAGCTTTCTGGAAGCATCCGCTTCCAAGGAACAAACCACCACCACCACCACGAGCGGCACTGGAATACTGAAAGCTCGCCAGGTCGGAACAATTGCACCATGTTTGTCGCATAGATCGGTGGAAATTCAGCATCAGACCGCCAAAACTCCTCCAAATAGCCATTTCTCTCTCTCTCTCTTTTTGCCGAACCACTCTATTCCTGTGATGTAAAAACCCTAACTTATACTATCACCCTATTTCTCACACTAAAATAAAAATAAATATATAAAGGTCTAAAATATTTACACAACCAAGGTCAATCAGGGAATAGCGAGACATCTGTGCGTGAATGGCGTTCAATAATGTAAAGTCAAATTATTATAGTTAAAAATTTGACTAGTAATGGAAAGAATAAATTAGAAATGTAATTCTCAAAAATAAAAAATAAATTAGGGTTTTAGCTGCCGCAGAAAGAGAGAGAGAGAGAGATATGACTAATTGGAGGAGTTTTGGTCATCGGATGCTGAATTGCCGGCGCTCTATGCTAAACACATGGTGTATTTGTTCCAATCCGGCCAGATTTCACCACTTCACAAGTGGTGGTGGTTTGCTCTCTCCGGTCAGATTATCATCATCGGATTATTTTCGTCGTCTTGGAGGCGGATCAGTCAGAGTCTTGAATGAAGGTGCAACCTTTTCGTCAACAGCAACAGCAGATGTAGTAGTAGTTGAGGAAGAGGAGGCAATAAGAGGACCCCTCCCTCTCCGATCAGCACCGTGCCTTATGCTGCCTGCCGGCACTTGCTTGGTTGCGCAATCCGACGAAGACGACGGAGAAAGGCTGAAACTTGTAAAAATGAAGGAGAAGGAGGAGGATTGCTATCGATTCTTTAGCCTTGGGGAGGAGAAAGTGGTGAAGATGAAGCCGAATCTTATGCTTCCATGGCAAAGGGAATTGCTTCCTCCATACGAGGCCATCTGCTTCGGCTCCTCTCGTGGTTGGCTCGCCTTTATCCACCCACGAAATTGCTCTCTCTACCTTTTCAACCCTTTCATCCACTCTTATCTCCCTTACCTTCCTCTCCCTCCTATCCAAACCCTCCCCTTTTTCATCTCAACCCTACGCTACCGCCGTAATTCCAATATTCAAAACTCATCTTCTTCTTATAATAATAATAAGAATAAGATTGTTACTGAGTTTACCAATTGGAAACATGTCTTGCCCATGTCTTCTCAAGAGCTGAGTCATTCACATTTCTTTAAGAAGATTGTTTTATCCTCAGCCCCGTCCCCGTTCCCTTCCAATCATCATCGGCAATATCAACGCGTTGATAACCAAGAGAAGTATTATTCTTCTGACTGTACTGTGATGGCCATCCATGGCTACTGTGAATACAAACTCGCCTTCTGCAGAATTGGGGACACCGCGTGGACTACCTTGGATTCAGGATACAGCAGTGATGTCATGTATTTTAGCAAGGACCAAAAATTTTATGCCTTGTCTGGAAGATATATGGAAGCTTGGGATCTTTGCGACCCTGCCTCTCCAAAGAAGGATCTCATAATGTCCCATTTGCCTCCTTACGAACACTCCACAATGGATGAACAACAACGCTATCTGAGAACTGGTGGCTTTCTCGATCGTTATCTAGTGGAGTCTTTGGGGGAGTTGTTGATGGTTGTTAGGCACTACGGTCAATATTTTGATAAAAATGGAGAGTACCATCCTGATATTCTTTTTGATCATACCCATCCAAAGGGTACCGTTGCGTTTGATGTCTACAAGCTAGACTTTGTTAACAAGGATTGGGTACTCTTGCCAGGCTTAGGCAATGACAGGGCTTTGTTTATCGGTTTTAATGACTCTGTCTCTGTATCTGCCATTGATTTTCCTGGGTTGGACATGAATTGTATTTACTTCACTTCTCCTAAAGCCCGATCCGAACACTCCCATGATTTGGGTATCTTCGACTTGGAAGATAACTGCATTAGTCCAATTTACCAATATGACTTGAAGAATATTAAACTGCCTTCTCCCTGGATTGTCCCTGCAGCTCAGCAATGAAGAAAATTGAAGGAAGCCCTTGTTTTGGTTATGCTTACTAATTACTAGCAAATCTATGATATACTAGTCCAAAAATATATATCTTTAGAATGTTTTGGTTATGCATTCTTATCTTAAAATAGAGCAATATTCTTTTATATACTTAGTAGTATATTGGTAATGTTGTTGAGTGCTTGGTGAAATAATCAAAAAAATGAAAATTAGAAGATTTGAAAATAAAAATCACCACATTGTGAAAAAGAAAAATAAGAATAATATCAAACATTAAATTAAGCTGTATGCATACCCTCTTTGGTATTGTTTTCATTGATGTATATTAGTATCTATTTGGCTATCTGTCTCCTAATTTTTATTCATTTGTTTTATTACTACATGTTGTTGCCATCAAAGTTAGTTTTATTAAACCCGTGGATATGAGATATAGTAAACCTGTAGAAGAGGCTTAAGTGGAAAAAAATACGAGCAAGAACAAACATTATACTAGTAACCAGTAAGGTTGACATTGGTCCCATTTAAGAAAAATATTAAAGATTGATTCTACCTTTTAGACGTGTCAGGTAGTCCAGAACTACCTTGATCACATTGTTAATGGATAGAAAACCCGATTGGGTTGAGAGGACAACATGTGCAATCGGTGATTAATTTGGAGGAAGAAGCTATGCATTTTTTTGAAGAACAACAAACAAACATATGCATTTTTTTTGAAGTGGTAGTTGTTGTTACATTTACAAATTATTGATGTTGATATCTCTTCTACTTTTCGAAGTGAAAAGTAAGAGTTCAAGTCCGTGTAGAATAAATGAATTTTTGAATTTCTTGTCAGGAAGAGAAAGGAAAAAAAAAAAATTAATTGTAACGTGGAATTGTACTTCTAAATAATTGCAATTATTTATTAATTGCATTAGTCTTGTGATATTTTGTTTATTTTCTAATTAACACAAAAACCAGATACCTTGTCACAAAAAATACTACCAAATACCACGTAATTCCACCAGACTAATTCTCATGAAGTGTTTTACCTTCCTATAAAATTCATTTTAGTACAAAAATTCCATTGAAATGATATATTTCATGTTGTGATATATTAATAAATGAATAATTATGTATACAATGATGATGGGTTAGGAATGATATGATGCTGAATAATTCAAAGGTTGTTAGGTTCAATAGAATATTATGGAAGGTTAAAAGTTGCAGTTGGACGTTGGGACTGCTCATCTGGCCGCAGGTGTTTAAAAACAACATCGGCAAATGGCCTAAGCTGGAAATTAGGGTTTGATTTTTGGGCAAGGAACGGGGATACTGAGAAGGGGTTATTGTTGGAAGTCCTACGTCCACAACTGTCCACATCTGAATCTAAAGAAGCTGAAATTATTTGGTTATTGGGGAGTGAGTTTCCCAAGTTGTATGATGGCTGACAAAATTGGGTTTTCCCTAGCTCCAAAATCTAATTAGAATTCATATACACCGCTGTCACGGATGGAAACATCTTCCACCATTTGGGCAACTTCCTTCTCTTCAATTTCTTCGGGTTGATAGTATGAGATCCCTAGAGTACATAGACAACGGTATTGGGCATGGTGACAAAGAAGAAAAGAACTTGCAACACCAACATCAAAATTCATCGAGTGGAGTAGCAGCAAGAAGAAGAGAACCAACACCAATATCAATATTCTTCCCATCCCTGAAAGAACTAGAATTGGATACCTTGCTTAAATTGAAAGGATGGTGGAGAAGTACTGAAGCAGAATAAGAAGCAATATTAACCACTTCTTCACCAGCCCAACAGCAATATCATCAGCTCCCATCGTTTCCTTCTCTTTCCAAATTAACCATCAGTCGCTGCCCCAATCTGGCATCAGTGCCTCTTCTACAACCATGTCTTGAACCACTAGATCTCCGTTGGGTCAACAAGAATCTATTACAATGACAGTTAATGATGATGGTGTCCCCAACAACTGTCACAATGTCGTCCTCTTCATTTTTGCTTCTTCCTCTTTCCAATTTAAAGTTTCTGTCTTTAAGATCCATTGATGATTGTAGATACCTGATTTTCAGGCGAGTCCCAGATCATCACAAAATAATAGATGGTGAGGTAAATCTTGCAACATGGTGGAATCCGAGGTGGATTGAGAGAGGTGGAAGTCCAGGCAAATAAGAGAGAGAAAGAGAGAGAAAGAGAGAGATATGGCAGTGTATATAGAAAACACCATTGACTCCTTGATCCATCTTTTAGGGGTTGTGAAGACAACCCATCTTAGAGAGAGAGAGTTTAGAGCTCTCGGTCTAAGAGGAATTTTTCTCCTTGTGTCTGCCCCTTTTCTTGGCCTTAGGTTATTTCCTTTTATAGGCCGAGTGAGGGTGGGTGATGTCATCAATGACATCAAGGTCCATTAACAAAATAATTAAAAGAGATTAATTTCTCATAAAAGAGATTAATTTCTCAAATAATTATAAAGTAACGTTAAATAAGATGGAGTTAAATGCTCGGGAGTCAAGATGGTATTTCTTTCTCTGCAAGTCAGGCCGAGTGTCGACTCGGCCAACCCTGGACTTCAGCCACCAAACCAAAACCTCCTCAGATCCCAGGAAATCCTAAGTTCTACTCCCAACTCAGGTCTTCGTTCTTCTATTCAAAGTATATTGATGCTGTGGTAACTTTGACCGTTGACCATGTTATGTGGGCCATCGCTACTGATGTGGCGTAGCTCGTTGACCATTTGACAGAGCTATGTAGGCCATTGTTGATGATGTGGCGCTTGCCATGTGGGCTCGAAATATAGGTATCCACATTAGTCCTCCTGTGCGAGTAAGCTTTATAGAAAATAGAAGGTTAGTCGGGTATAAAAAAAATGTGTTGTAATCGTAAAGGAAAATGAGGGATCCTTCGAGATTCCTAAAGGAAAAATAAAATTTATAAGAAATACGTTTAAGCAACAAAGCGTGTCTGTATATAAGATATCTCATCTTGGGTAAGTGCTCTGAGTCCTTTAATGGACTTGATTTGGTTAAAATGTGAGGCTCTAAGTCGCTTGATGGGAGTCGAATCAGGGAGGAGTCCTTCGATCAACTAGTGAGTTTAAGACTAGGTTGCTCAATGGGGTCAAATCGAGGAGGA